TTTTGCTTGTTCTAAAATGGTTAATCCCATAAACCGTTTTAGAAAAAATTAAAAAAAAACATGAAATTAGGGTTGACAAGTCCTAAAAATCAAAAGTCGTTTCTGTGGTAATATATAATTTAGATTTTATTCTTTGATAGATTATTATTATTAATTTTGATTAACGTCATATTTTTTGCTCTTGTTAAAGTATCAAATTTTCCCATAACTATTCCTTTCCGTAGCATTGAACTAAATAAATTTTGTGCTTCCTTAACGTTTTAAAATCAGAAAATGAAAACCAAATGAAAACGAAATTATACTTATTACCATAGAAACGCGTTTTGATTTTTAGGACTTCAAAAATCTTGGGAAAAATTCAATTACGTTTTATTTTTTTTAATTTGTTAAAGTATACACGGGATTAACCATTTTAGAACAAGCAAATTTTTTATGAAGAATGCATTTTTCTCAAAATGTCAATAAAGACCAAGACCGGACAAGAAAGTTTTTCATCTTACAAAGACAATCCGGGGACATACCGGGAATTTATACATTCTTTGGTATATACAAAGTTGTATTAAATTAGCAGTCAAATTAAAAACCTCCATGGACAAACCTTCGTCATCTATAAGCCAAGCAAACCTTCGTCATCTATAGACCTTAAAGAAAACCATCTTGAAATTTAATGACGAAAGACTTGTTGTCATTAAAACTTCACTCACCATATTTTATCGTCTTCAAAGAGTATGTGGCAATTACCTACGCCCATTGAAACAACAGCAGCTGGTATGTCTTAAACAATTAAATAATTAGTGGAATAGGTAATAAATCTAACAGTGGCATTTTTGAATTAATGTTTTAAAATATAATAGGAATGCTCCTGAAGTAATAATTATTATATACCTAGTGTGTATTTTTACGAAACGCCAAACGTTAAATTAGAGGAAACCTCTTTGATTTTTTTAATACCATATTAAGCGAAAACAGTTTATCCCTCTGTCATTGGGATATTCTGGACATTCTGCTTTTCCATGATCCAGAGTTTTAGTGCACTACGGGCCATACATTTGGATATTCCCAGTACAGGCTCTCGACCAAGATAGGATGCCGATGATCCTTGCCTAGCTAGCTCATCGGCTTTTTTGTTGCCTTGGATGCCGCTGTGGTCCGGCACCCAGAATAATTTAATTCTGTTCCTTCGTACCGGAGCTCCCAGTTCACCTAGGCATTCCCAGATGAGCCTCGACGATACCTTTGGGCTCATAAGCGCCCCAAGTGCTGCCTGACTGTCGGAGTATATATATATTGATGAGCTTACCTGAATAAGCTCTTCTGTTGTTTTCTCTCGCACATTGTAGAATGGCGAAGATTTCTGCCTGGAATACGGTTGAGTATTTACACAAGGAAAAGGATAAGCTTACCTTTGGTCTTTCTCCAAATACTCCAGCTCCTGTTCGTTCAGCGGTCTTTGACCCGTCTGCATACCAGGTTAGTCCATCCTGAAGGAATGTTATATCTGTCCACATTCCTCGATCCATTCGATGTCTGATCTTGGTCTTGCATAAGTCTTGCACTGTCGTTGTCGGTCTTGGTCTTGCTGATTTAAGGCTGGTCTTCGTCTTGCAAAAATGCATGAGCAAGACCAAGACCAGTCCCGCTATCACTAGAAGAAATACAAATAATAAATCAATATATTGACGTTTATAAATAAAAAAATTGTGTGCAACTCGTTGACAAACTACTCTGGTGATCTCAAATAATGTATTTTTGGCGCACTATATATAAAAGGAATATTTTAGAAATACTATTTCTAATAATTAATTAACATTTTTTTCAACAGCACAGACACATAAACTAACTTAAAATTTTCCATTTACTATTAAATTGCCCGATAAAATGCATTACGTTCAAACCGTTCGGTACAAGAGTAAACCGCACCGCAGTGGTGCATAGAACTCGATAAAGTGATAAAAAAACGAATTTAAATTGAAATCGGTGTGAAAACGTTGAGATTATCGACGGTCGACAAAAAGCGGCACCGTTTTTGGTTTTATATAAAAATCAGGAGCCGATGTTCTATTGTAAAAAACCGGGACGACACAAATGGGTTCAGTGAAGCATTGCAAGACGCATTTAGTACTTGAAAAGATTGCTATAAAGAGTTTGTACGTAGAGAACCAGTAGTTATAACTATTTTGTATTTTATGTTTAACACTAACTTCTAACCTAAATATCTTGTTATTAATAGTTTTATCAATTTGTCGCAATTGAGTCGCAATTTATCTGTTATGTCACATCAATATCTGCATCAAGAGATCAGAAGACTTTATAAGAAGATATTTTATATGTGTTCCATGAAATCTTGTAATTTTTCTGAATTATAAAAAATCATCCACGTATTACCAATCAGAGTTTAAGGAGAATTTTATCTCAATCCATAATCCATTCCATACTAAAGTTTGCTATAACCAAGGATACTGATGATACATCAGTAAATAATTCTGTAAGAAGTATTATATACTTAGAAAGGAAAGAAGGCAATATGAATTAAGATTTCATAAAGATGTTACGTTTTCTATGAACTTAGTTTTAATCATCGTTTGGACGCTTATTTTAGACGAGTTTTAAGCACAAGTATTATTCCGAATACAAGAACAATAAAAAAGATAACCAGAATACATTACAGTCATAACAAATCACCAAAATCATAATAAATGATTGCAGCTTTATTCTGTTCTTAATTACAATGAGGTTTCCCTGCTCTTTTCATTTGCGACCATTGTGTTTCTGTATTGCGCCATTGCCATTTTGTGTCTGATTGTTTTAAGGTTAAGGTACCACTGTATAATTTCGGTAATCCATCTTTTGTCAATATTTCTCACCAAGTGATCTGCGCAATTTGAGGGATATAATTTTGTAGTTCACATCTGTTATCTGAAACATCTATCTTATCAACTTTCACGTGTATATATTTCCTCTTCGATATTCCAAGCATAAATTGCGTAATATGCTTTTATATTTCCTTATGAATTCTGGTTGCAATGTCCAAGTTTCACAGCCTGGTAGTATCAACTGGTCCAAAGCTCTTTTTAGACGGTGTTCTACATGTAGGCTCTGTAGAAATGGACCGACTAACCCTTGGTGATCACTAGCTTTGCCAGAACCCCAATATAAGGACATCGAGTTGGCGGGTCATCCACTCGAGGGAGGAGAGACATGGTCAGGTCCTCACAATAGGAATTGACTTTGAGTCCAAGGAGGCAATAGAGAAAGAAAGATATATTCTGTTTTATAGATCCGGGACAACACCGGTATCAGGTCTAAGGAGAGACCAAGTTAAAGAGGTGGTGAAAATGGAGACAGATCCTCCAGCCTCTACCCTCAAGGGTACATGAGTCGGAGACAAGCTCCTCGACTGTGAAGGGCACGGAAGGCTAAACCCCAACTGTGGAAGGGTGTATACCCTCGTAGGATGTTGATATCTACTCCTCGGAGGATGAACAGTTGTTGTCAGAGGAGGATGGGAAATACCCTGTCCCCTCTACAACAGGAAGGTCCCTATGTATGATCATTTATAGACTGTATGATGAGTTATAACTTGTTGATTAACCCCCCCCCCCTTCACTAATTCTACATTCTAGACTAAAATATAATGAAATTTTGCCCAAAACTGATGAATATTAATTTTTTTTTTCTATGTCCAAAAAACAAAAAAATCGTCATATTATAATGTAATATTTTATCAACGTCTTAAAGACGTTCCCTTTCAATAAGTATTTTTCTTAAAGGATATCGCGCTCGCATATCCGGCGGAGATTATCGCGAAAACGGAAGCAGACGGGACAAAAACGCGGACAATAATAATAATATTCCGGCACCGAAAATAAAAGTAAAGCACCTGCACAAGTAGAACGTTACTGCATTATTCATGAATCTATGAAAAGGCCCCCTCTCCACGGCAGTCTTTTGAACCGTGTTCGTATACGCTTAAGTGTCTGGTAATAAGCTTTTTGTACGGCAAATATAAATAGGATTTATTGTGTTTATCAGACAGGAATTTTTTTAAGTCCTAAAAATCAAAATGCGCTTGTTTCTATGGTATATAATTTCGATTTCATTCTTTGATGATCATTTATTATTTTAGGTTATTATCATAGGTTATTATTAATTTTGATTAACGCCATATTTTTTGCTGTTGTTAATGTATCACATTTTCCGATATCTATTATTGTCAAGACTTAAATAGATGTCAAGTTGGGTTTATATCAAATTGGGAAAAATCATATAAAATATAATTTTAGTAGACCAATTTGATGTAAGCCCAGGAGATCGGTTACCTGCATGCCATCGACCCAGATATGTTATTAAATAACATTAATAATTAAACAAAAATAAAATTTAACAATCTCGGGTCGGTAATCAAACGCAGGTCACCGAAGTTTGATTTCCTCATGGTCATAGCTGGGTTAGTGTAATTAGATTGTAAACTATTTTGACGACGTAACCGGCAATGACAACGAAAAATAGAAGAATATAAAAAGAGTATGCTGAAGAGAACCGATTTAGTTGCATTATGAGTTGTTAGTCAGTTGATAGTTAGTTCATAGTGAGTTCATGAGTCAAATGGTTAGTCAGAAGACAGTTAAGACGTTGAAGATGTTCCTGTAAGTACTCCTTTCAGCATACCCTTAAGAAGTCTTAGCATTTCCTGAAATTGTTCTCCTAACATTTTTATCCACACTGTGCATTTTTATTTAATAAATGTATATTTTCCTAATGGTTGTTTTAATCCGAAGAGAGAACCCGGTCTAGCTATCCCAGCGAACAACCCCCAAGCTAGGTCGCGACATTATCACCCTTTCCGTAGCATTGAAGTAAATAAATGTTGTGCTTCTTTAACATTTTGAAACAGCAAAAAATATGATGTTAATTAAAATTCTATCAATAACAATCTATCAAGGAATGAAAACAATATTTAATATTTAACTTAATTAATTTGTCTTTTTTTTTCTTTTCAGACCTAAACTACTGCGGTACTCACGAACCCTGCCTCAACGGCGGTACCTGCGAGAACACAGCCCCCGATAAGTACAACTGCACCTGCCCGGAGGGGTTTTCGGGAACGAACTGCGAGGTGGTGGACAACCCTTGCGCCCCTGCCCCCTGCCTCAATGGCGGCACCTGTTTGGAGGCAGGAGGATCGTTTAGTTGCGAGTGCGGACCGGGATGGGCAGGAGCCACTTGCGAAATCGGTAAGTAGGAAGGAAGAGACTTTTATATTGTTTTAAACCCATTAACATTTAATAACAATCATTAATAGATAAAACTCAAAAATTATTAGGCATATTTCACACCAGTACTTTTTAACCAATCCAACTGGATTATTTCGACACATCACCGTTGCAGCGTATGTGTGTATGTTATCGCTAACTATCGAACCTATGTTCCGTGCCAACTGAATTGCCAAATCAACCAAACATTCTATTTACGTTTAGCTGGTATCTTTTCAAAGAAACAACAGCCATTCTCAAAAATCAAAAAATATGATTTAAAATGATTTTCAACACAATTTGGTCCGAAATTTTCTTACTGAATACAGAGTTGCAAGCTCACAGAAAACTTGAGTCTTTTTTTGATTTAAATCATTATATTATTATTAATTACTTAAGTCATTTGATCTTAAATAATTTTTCGAAAACTGTCTTAAAACTTAAAATTTCTTTTTCAAAATGACTTAAATCTTTATTCCGAAATAGAAAAAGATTTGAGTCTTTTTAGAAAAGACTTAAGTCATTAAAATGATTTAAATCTTTTTATAAAGGGCTTAAGTCAGATTTTTATATATCTTTTTGATAGATACATTTTTAGCAGCAGAATTCATTTTTAAACTGTTAGGCGGCCAAGCAGCAGAAATTAAAAACAATGTTCAATACCACTAGCAAATAAAACGTTAGTTTTTCGGAACCGATTTTGATTATTTAGCGTGTTACGCGTGCGTAGTGAGTTTGTTGTCTTTCAAGTAAATCCCCGACTCCGTTATGTAGCCCGAAAGACGAACGAAAGAATATTTATTTTGTTGGGGTTGGACACTGAAACCCACCCAGCTTTATCGTTAAATCATATTTTTCGTAGTCGTTTTATTCCAAAAAAAATTAACACGTCTCTTTTTAAAAGAGCTTTATCTTCAACAATTGGGCGTTTTCCGTTACCTAGTAAACTGAAAAAAACCTTAAATGTTTCTTTTATTCATATTAGACCAGTAAAATATAATTTAACTGCAATTAAAAGTAAGAAAAATTTAAAAAGAAAACAACACGTCATAAGAACTTTTAAAACGGGTATTCTTACACGGCCATCTCGGAATATTGACAGCGCCATCTCTCGTGAACTTTAATCGCGAATACCTAACGACATTGCCCAATTACGCACTTGTCGCGCATTGACAAGTGACAACCTGATGGGCGAAAAAACGGGTACAAAAATGTGAGCAAAGAAGCTCGTTTCGTCCTGCGCACTAAATTGAAAATATTGAAAACAAATGACAACTGACAGCGTAATAATAATTATTATTAGGGGGGCCCCATAAAAAGTTTCGCGGGGGGGGGCCCGAATCCTTATATCCGCCACTGAGACTTAAGTCTTTTTAAGTGACTTCTTGCAGCTATGACTAAATACCAGGCGATGCAAAATTAAATCCTGAATTTTTTTTCTCTCGTTGTATTACTAGTGAAAATCGATTGTCTAGATCAGCTTTAGGACCATTCTTCGAGCGTTATACTAATTTAAATAATTCATTTTTTCGGTCGCTCCGCATTCAAGGACCGAAAAATTTATTTATTTGGTATATAAACAGACAGGCGTAAAAATCGAGACCAGCTTAGCTGTTTTAATCGTTTTAATAAATAGTTGCGGTACGCTTCTTGCTTCGTCTCTACGAACGAAATCGAATTGGATTAATTTCGGTGATGTGTACCTACCGGGGCGTAAATTTTAAGTTTTTAATTGAAACCTCGATTGAAGCTTATATACGTTTTTTAATTAAGTTTGACGCCTACGATGGCAAGTAGTTATTATTACTATAAACGACCACACACTTCGGCTTTTAGCGACACGCAAGTGTAGGCCAAAACGAGAAGATTACTATACATTCAAAAAAGGAACAAAACACGATAAGCCAGAATCCAGAACACAGAATTTTTGTTTTACTCTAGAAAAAAGTTGGTTTGACAATGTCGAAGCAGAGCTTTTTCACAAAAAAAATCACACAGGTCGAAACTCAAAAATCTAAATAAAGCAAAAACTCACACCGTTTTTCAATATCTGTAACAGATCTTGAGTTATTTGTGAAAATCTACGAAAGAAATACTATTTTTTTCTGTTTTCCGAAGTATTTAACAACGAATATCTCTGGAACAAAAAGCGCAAATCTCAAAAACGAAACGGTCTTGTAAAGTGCATTTTCAGGACTGCAACATACTACGAAATAAGCAAAAACGATTTTTTGAAGAAATTTCTCGGCACCCCCTTGCCGATTTTGTCAAAAATTGAAATATCTCAGATTGCAACTAAAATATTCTTACAAATAAAAAAACTGTAAAGTTATCAAATTGAATTTTGTCAGACTGCCAAAAACTGACGTGTATCGTGTATAATTTGTCTAGAATACTGAATTATGAATTATGGTATGGTATGTAAAAAAATATAAGTGGCGAAAAAATATTTATAATATAATTAAATAACCTACTATATTCATTATATAGGTAGGGGTGGTGTATTTTGACCCCCGGAACACATCTTTGATTTTCCAAAAAGGAAAGATGTTTATAATCGTGCATTTTCTTTTAAATTTTCCTGTATATTTTATAAAACTTTTTAGAACGGCCTGTCCTTTTTTTAAATATTTTTTTTTAATTTTCAAACTTGAATAACTCGGTTATTTTGAAAAACGCGTAAGGGGAAAATAGTATGTTTCTTTTATCGATCTACCTGCCCTAAAAATATTTGCACTTATTTATTAAGACTTACCCTGTATACCGTGTGCGTCTCAAAAGTGGATCACCCCTATAACTGATTATTTTTTCAGGTAAAAAGAACGATATTTTGTATGTCAGTATGACATAAATTAAGATTGATTGACGCATTCAATTGTTTTTGTTCACTTCCTGTTTCACCGGAAACGACTACATCTTTGACTTTTAAATGGCACTCTCTGTATATTTCTACTTTATTCGATAGATAATAACATTCTGAATAGAATGACATATCATATGTCAACTTTTGACATTTTCGCAAAACAAATCGTATTTTAAATATCAACCGGATTGTCTTTAAATATATAAGAGGAAAAACTTTTTTTATTATTGACAGAAAAATTGGAGAAAAATGCATTCTTCATAAAAATTTTTGCTTGTTCTAAATTAGAAAAGTTTTAAATCATTAGATGCATTGTTCTCTAAATGTCAATAATGAAAAAGTTTTTCCTCTAGTAAAGACTATCCGGGGACATACTGTAGAGTGCCATGGCTGTGTTAAAAATACTAATTTTTAATCAAGGAACCTTGGAGAAATAATTTTGTTCGTCTAATGTTTTGTGTGTCTTGTCCTGGCCGGTTAAAAGATACCCAAATCGTATTTTAAATCATATCTCAATTTTTTCAAATGAAACAAAGGTGGCTCATTAGCATATTTCGAAAAAACATTTTTTACGAATAATTTGGTAGCACACACTTGGTATTTGTCAAATTGTCGTTATGAACCGCATGTTACATATGCGAAAATTTCAAAAGTTGACATATGATATTTCATTCTATTCAGAGTGCCATTTCATCAAAAGTTGTAGTCATTTTCGGTGAAACAGGAAGTGACCAAAAACAATTGAATACGTCAATCAATCCTAATTTATGTCATATACTAACACATCAAATCTCGTTTTTTTATCTGAAAAAATAAAAAAGTTATAGGGGGTGAGCCACTTTTGAGACGCGCCCAGTATATCGTATACTATTAATTAAACATTTTTTTGGTAAATAAATAGCAACATCGCATTTTTCTATTTACGTCTGGTTTGTATATGTTGGATACTTTTTTATACTGTAAATTTTGTCTATTTATATTATTCGTCTGAAATCTAAACTGTGGCTTCTAAATTTGTACAATCTAACTGGAGGAAATAGGGAGGTGTCTCTAGGCAATCTCTTCACTGATTGATATCAATATTCTGTATGTTTTAAGATGCGATGTTTAATTGATCGGTTTAACGTTCTAGTGAATAAAGTCGAGTTAATTTTGTTGTTATCTGTTTAATTAATTATGTCGATAAAAACTGGTCCGTGGAACGGGTGGGTGTGAGAAAAGTTTAGTCGTTAGAATTACTCATAAAGAATTGGACTAAATTAATAAAAAAAATGCGCGGGTAGGTCAGACAGCATTAAAAAAGAATAAACAGTTTTATTTATAGTATCATTATATTTTAAGCACTGTCTGTAACATTATTTCGGCGAATTCATTTAACATTATTTTATGACATTTATCAGTTAATTGTAACAATAAATTACAGTATACATAAAATAAGAATTGTAAGGCATATCCACGCCACTAGTTTTTGCATATTCAACAATATTTTCTAACGATTTCCAATGGAACCCACGCATATATCAACTCAGAATCATGAAGGAAGTGTCGTTACGGAAACCGCTAATGAAAAACCACCCGAAGAAACGTTTCTTTTTCTTTTCAACATCTTCATCGCCAGCGCCAACACGTACTAGAATCTGCATACGGGCTTCAGGGACATTTACATATACAGGGTGATCAAATGCTTCCAGACTAAATTATTACAGGATACAAGAAATAAATGAATTCCTCCTATTTTGTGTTTTTAAGTAAGTTTATGGTATCAACTAAATCGATCAGGTTGTTTTTATTTTTTCTGGTGGAATAAAAAAGCAGAACATTCTTTTAAGATTTTTGTTGACTGCTTATATGCATTATTAATGTATTAACCAGTCCGGACATAAATCTGCCTGAGATGGTCATCAACACAACAGTCAATGTGTAAAATAGCCGTACCTCAAAGATCAACAGAAAAATGATGATAGTACAATTACGAGAATAAACGATTGGACTTGTAATACTACCTATAATTCAGGCCAGGTAGCCTGATATACAGAGTCTAGAAAAGTAATAATACTGTATCTTATATAATATAATATACTGTTATAAGAGAGGCCAGAGAAATATAATGATGTAGATA